ATGGGGTGGAAAGCTGCACCTTTTGGCATTCATCAAGCTGTGCTGTGAGTTGTGCTATTACACAGTATTTTAAGGGTCTTAAAGTAAACCCAGTCACCAAAATCATCTGGGTTTGGAAACCAGAATTCTTTAATCCAGAACCTTTTGGTTATCCAGTTTCAACCGCAGCCTGACAGGCTGCTGGCACTACAGGGGCACTGGCGAGCAGCAGCGTGGAGGCAGGTGCAGAAACCCACTAACGCGTCAGGGGAACTGCTTGGTCACGCTGCAAAGCTTTGGTAGGTGGCTCACAGACTCAAGAAAATGCTGGTTTCCGCTTACTCAGGGTGAGACCTGAGTGTTGCACTAACAGCCCTGTAGCTGTGGAATCAGTCCTCCCTCCAAATTAAACAATTCCTTCCCAGTTCGACCCAGAGTCAGCAAGAAGTGGGGAAAAAGAATTTTAAAAAGCTGCAGTGCAGGGAACCTCTTTGTCCTATGCGACCTACTTGTCACATATTCGACAGTGAGAATGACAGGGTGGGGTAGGAAAGGCAAAGTCCATGGCTCCACTAGTGATTTTATAGACCAATCTGCGGCATAGTACTTCTTTTTCTTTCAGTTCTCAAAGCTACTCAGAGCATTGGCTAGCTGCTTGACTTTGCAAGCTTTTTTCTGAGTCACATATATATTAAAAAGAAAACCCAAAGCAAACAGGAGGGAGGAAAAGAAAACAGGTGGCATCTAAGAGTGGTGAAAGATTAAGAGGGATGTAGGTCCAGAGACAGCCAGACCCAGGCACAGACTCTGGCTTACAGTAACTTTTTTCCAGAGGTGTCACTAAGAGCAAACAACTGCAAATGGAGTTTATCCACCCCTGATTTCAGCAATATAACATTTACCCACTTCTTACGGATACCAGACAGGTGAGTAATTCACCACGGCACTACTGCACCTCTCTGTAGTCACTGGGTAGCTGCTTACAGGAGAAGAAATCACCCAGCTCCTATTTCAGGGCCAGATACAAACTTCAGGGAAGTCTTTTTCATTTCCTTTACATGAAGTTCTGCTTGAACACATTAATGACGTGTAGCTTTAGATGACATGAGAGGTGGAACTCTTCCAAAACACATTCAGTTTCCTGTCAGAAAGTATTGCGTGCCTTTGCGCAGGAAATCATAAAATAGAAAATAAACATGTAAATATACCATTTCAACACATCCTCTACATCAAAGCAGACCTGATGTTTTTAATTTCAGCTTTTTGAGGTTTTGTTATTATAAGTTGCTGAATTTATTTTGTAGCTCCTGTTTATGAAAAGAATTTTAAAAGAGTTATAAATTACATTCATCAAATGAAGAAAAACTGCAACTATAAAGCTTTCAGAAAAAGGGAATAATGTGAACCCTGTGTGTGCACTCATGTGGACACACACACACAAACATATATATATTTAAGGTGACTGCCGAACCACAGACCACATGCAGAAGAGTAAAAACCACCCATAACCAGATGTGCCACTGTAAATCCCATATTTTAGGATATATTCTATGAAATCCTCAGTGCACAGGAAGACATAAGTTCCCACACTATTTGTAGCAGTGATACGCATTCCTAGAAAGACCGACTACCTCCACGTACCTAAAAATAACCCAAGATCCGACTGGGAGGTACAGCCCTTGTGAAGTAGAGAGAGGGTTTACCGGAGTGAAAACACAGGATTCTGAAAATCGTCCAGCATAACGCAGAAGTGAGAACAGCAGTGACATGTCACTTCAAACCTCCCGAGAACCAAAGGGCTGCAGAAGGAATTCCACCCTTTCCCACGGAGTTTTGTATAAATACACCAGCACTGTGCTTGGACTGAACACATCGGTGCGTGGCTTGTAGGGCCATGCAGAGCCACCGTTTCACCATGGAACAGCAGCCTCTGGTTATACTTGAATTGTCCCATGGCAGGGAAGTTTAGCGGTGGGCCGCTGTAGCAAAGTGCTTCCGTTCTCTGCTCTATCCACAGCTGAATAGGAAACCCCAATTCAAAAGTTTCCTTCAAGCTATAAAAATAAAGCAAAGTTGTTTCCAGGGAATGGAGAAAAAGTCATTTCCAAAGTCCCTATCCACCTACAAATAGGCTATATAAGAACAAATACTTTTTTTACCTCGGAATCTCTCTCACTGATCTAGTAGAGCAAAGTTTGTTGATATTCAGGGTTGCAAACCCATCTGTTTACTCAGGCTTTTGTCTGTCAGCATAGTTTGAAGAGGTCACTTTGAGAGATCAATTTTTTTTCCTGGGGGTTTCTTCAGAGCTACCACAATTTGTTATTGCATCTGTTTAGAGGCTTTAATTTGTGGTTTTCAAGATTGCATAACTGCACAGAGAGGTGGTGAGAGGCCCACATGAAGAGTTCAAAATAAGTTTGACAATATAGTAAATATCTACCCAGTAATTTTCCCTGGACTGAGCACCACGGAATGCCAAAAAAGTTATTAATCAGGCTAGTGTGTGAACGTGGCTTTATGAGGACTGGAGCATACGTTTCCATTCAGATGCTAAAACGCTGAATTGCCTTCACTTGCTGTTGGCACCAGCTACAGACAGTGCACGGGGGGCTGCAAACCAGGCGCCTGATTAGATTGCTCTAAGACAGCCCATTCGGAACCAGATAAAGAAAAAATAAAATGAGATTTTAATTTTGCCTTTTATTCAGAGTTCTCTTAATGAGTTACATAAAAATGAAGTAAGCTGCCTAGACTCCCAAGAGGAGGCTCAGCATTAATTTTTCCATTTTGCAGATGTTAGACGGGAGGCACAGAGACATGCACAGTCCCATTTGGAGGAGTGCAGGCTGCACCCAGGGGGAGTTGCAGGTCCTCAGGGTTTCTGGGAATCTGCAGCCAGAGACCTGGCATCGGCTACAGGCAGAAATGGGGTGCTCGGGACCCACACACGCATCAAGTGCTTGGGTCACATGTCCCCAAAGTCAGCGTGGCAGGCACCTGGGTGAGCAGCAGCTGAAGCAGCAGCTCAGGGATGCATGAGTCACATTTGTGTAGCAGAGGGCAGTGTTCAGCATTTTGGACAACTAATGTCCCTATCTGAAGAAGCTGGTGAGGAAATGATGTGTGCTCTGCAAACTGGGAGCCCTGCATCAATGGAACGACAAGGCTGTGAGCTGAGCTGGCATATTTTGTCTAGGGCTGTGTCTATACACCAGCTGAGATTAAAGCTCTGCACCTTTGGGACAGGTCTCCATTTAGTCCAGCAAGAAGGAATTTACAGGCCATGAATTCCCCCTGACTGGGCGAAGGATGAAGGTGGCCGGTCTGTGCTCAGCTCCGCATACTGCAAGCACTTTGCTACTGATACCCAACCCACCCAACCTAAAGCCAGCCCTCCCGTGTCCGCCCTGCACACAGTACGTAGGTCTCTACCTGACCATGCCCATGAGGTGACACTTGAGCCACCTGCGAAAGGACTCGGCTAGACCTACTCACATGAGAAGCTTGTGCTTATACTTCACTTGGCAACAGAAAAAAAGCATTGCTGGCTCCTCCTGGGTCGCCGTAACGGAGCGTCTGCCCCGACTTACAGCTCACCTGGATGCGGTGGGACCCGCAGTGAGCAGGGGGACGTGGCGCAGGCAGCGCTCTCCTGCAGCCCCCACCGTCCCCGCTGCCCACC